TTAAGGTCCATTAAACAGAATAAAGTCCAATAAAACTAAATAAAACACATTAAGGCCCGATAAACTCAATAAAGTCTGATAAATGGATTAAAATCCCAATAAAATTGAACAAACCCAATAAAATGGGATAAGGCCCATTAAAGTCCATTAAACCGAATAAAGTCCAATAAAACTAAATAAAGCTCATTAAGGCCCGATAAACTCATTAAAGTCCGGTAAATGGATTAAAGCTCAATACAACCAAACAAACCCCAATAAAACGGGTTAAGACCCAATAAAACCAAATAAAGCCATTAGGCCCAATAAAATCGAATAAAGTCAAATAAAATGGATTAAGGCCCAATAAAACCGAACATGTATACATACGATACCTACATTTACAAATGTGTACATATAACACGTAAAAACAAGAAAAATAAGAAAAGAGGACAAATCCCTCGTTAATCAGCGCGAGATCAGCGAAAGAATCTGTTTTTTGCCATTTTTTTATTTAATAACTACAAATTTAATTACTTATTAATTTTTAATTATTGACCATTTACAATTATTTATTATTTATTAGAATATTAAAAAAATTAATCAATAAAACCGAACAAAGCCAATTAGTCCCAATAAAACCGAATAAAACCCATTAAGGTCCATTAAACCGAATAAAGTCCAATACAACTAAATAAAACGCATTAAAGCCCGATAAACTCAATAAAGTCTGATAAATGAATTAAAGCCCAATAAAACAAAACAAACCCCAATAAAATGGGATAAGGTCCATTAAACCGAATAAAGTCCAATAAAACTAAATAAAGCTCATTAAGGCCCGATAAACCCAATAAAGTCCAGTAAATGGATTAAAGCCCAATAAAACCGAACAAACCCCAATAAAATGGGTTAAGACCCAATAAAACCGAATAAAGCCATTAGGCCCAATAAAACCGAACAAACCCCAACAAAATGGGTTAAAACCCAATAAAACCGAATAAAGTCATTAGGCCCAATAAAACCGAATAAAGTCCAATAAAATGGATTAAGGCCCAACAAACCGAACATGTATACATATGATACCTACATATAAAAATGTGTACATATAACACATAAAAAACAAGAAAATAAGAAAATAGGATAATTCTATCGCTAATCCCTCGCTGATATGCGAGGGATCAGCGAGAGAATTATCAAAGATTAAGTTCCCTCGCAGATCAACGAAAGATTTTTCTATTTTTCCTATTTTTCTCGTTTTTACGTGTCGTATGTACACATTTTTATGTGTTGGTGTTGTATGTATATATGTATATGTGTTATTTGTGTGTGTGTGTATATATATATATATATGTTGTGGTTGTTAACCGCGATGTGTATTATATGTACACATGTGCATGTGTTATAAGTATATATATACCCGTCGTCCCGTGTTTTATATATATATATATGTTTACACGATGTTGTAATTGTTATATGTATATATATCCGTCAGTCCATGTTATATACATATGTATACATAATGTGTATAGATGTGTGGTGGTTGCTAACCACGATTGGATCGATGTATATATACCCATCGATTTGGTTTTATTAGGCTTTATTCGGTTTTACGAGGCCTTAAGGGACTTCATTCGGTTTTATAGAGTCGTAATCCAATTTTCTTGGACTTTATTTGGTTTTATTGGGGATTCATCCAATTTCTTTGACTTTATTCGGTTTTATTGGGCCTAATGGGCTTTATTCGGTTTTATTGGGTCTTAACCTATTTTATTAGGTTTTGTTCGGTTTTATTGGGCCTTAATCCATTTACCGGGATTTATTGAGTTTATCGGGCCTTAATGGGCTTTATTCGGTTTACTTGGGCCTTAATAGGCTTTATTCGGTTTTATTGGGCCTTAAGGAACTTTATTCGGTTTTATTGGGCCTTAATGGACTTTATTTGGTTTTATTGGGGCTTAACCCATTTTATTGGGTTTGTTTGGGTTTTATTGAGTTTATCGGGCCTTAATAGGATTTATTCGGTTTTAATGGGCCTTAAGAGACTTTATTTGGTTTTATTGGACTTTAAGGGACTTTGTTTGTTTTTATTGGACCTTAATCCATTTATCGGGCCTTAATGGATTTTATTATGTTTTGTTGGGCTTAATGGGCTTTATTCGATTTTATTAGGCCTTAATGGGCTTGATTCGGTTTTATTGGGCTTTATTCGATTTTATTGGACCTTAATCCATTTATCGGACCTTAATGGGTTTTATTCTGTTTTATTGAGGTTAATGGGCTTTATTCGATTTTATTAGGCCTTCATGGGCTTGATTCGATTTTATTGGGCCTTAATGGGTTTTATTATGTTTTATTGGGCTTAATGTGCTTTATTCGATTTTATTAGGGTTTAATGGGATTGATTCGGTTTTATTGGGCCTTAATGGGCTTGATTCAGTTTATTGGGCCTACCATTGGTATTATTAAAATGCTTTAATTGTTAAAAACAAGCATTGGTTATGTTTGATTTACAGTCGTTATGCTGCTGAAATTTCTACATACATAACCTCACATGTTTTTGTTTTGGTGAACCATAGGAGCAATTTCAATCGCTTAAGGGTGAGTCACAATCTAGTACCGACAGCCCTCTCCCTGATGAGGCATCTCTTTGGGAGCAAAGTGTCGGAGGACGGAGGAAAGGCCGCACCTTTGGTTTCGGGACCACCCAGGATCCCTCTTATGCTATGACGGGTAGATGTAGCAGTAGCGAGTTATCATACGAGTCAAGAGCGGAGGTATGTTGGTTTTATTGTTATAAACTTTCTCATTACTAAAATTACAAACAAATTACTGATTTTCTCGAATATTGAATATTTACAAGTATCAGAGTTGAGAGAGAAGTTGGCAATAGTAGATGAACGCCATCTGGCCAAGATGGAGGAAGAACGGAAGAAGAGGGCAGATTTGGAGGCCGAACAGGCCAGACAAGCTGCTGCATTAGCCCAACAGGCCGTCTTATCGGAGCATTTTGCTGCCTTTATGCGGCAGTCTTGATACATTTTCCCACCTCCCGGTAGTTAGATTGTATGTATTTGAAGATTAAATTGTATGTATTTAAAGATTAAATTGTATGAATTGAATATTTTAAATTGTATGAATCCATATTTTAAATAGTATGAATTGCTTAGTTTTAATTTGTTCACAGTTTTGTTTTGTTATATTATTTCCATGTTTTGTATAAATAAATACATGAATTATGTAATTTTAAAAAAAATTATTTTTTAGATTAATAACAATTAGCGACGGATTAGCGAGGGAAAATCCGTCGCTGAAAGTCGTTGAAGGTTCCCTCGATGATCCGTCGCTGAAGGGTCCCTTGCAGATCCGTCGCTGAAGGTTCTCTCGTAGATCCGTCGCTGAAAGATCCCTCGCAGATCCGTTGCTGAAAGTATCCCTCGCAAATCCGTCGCTGATATCCCTCGCTGATAGCATTACCTACGAGCATTTGAGCGACGGAGTATCAGCGAACGATCAGCGACGGATCACCCTTTTAGTGACGGATTTGCGAGGGAATTTTCTCTCGCTGATACTCTGCAGTTTTGTAGTGACTCTTGTCTCCTTTGCCTATGTAAACGTCTTGTTAAACAAAGTCGGTCCATTTCCTATCCAATTACTCAAATTGTTAAACATATAATTAAATTAAACTGATTCAAAACAATAATTCTCTTAACAACCAAACAAGCTAGAATGTGATATTTTTCGGTTAATTTAACAAGCCCTGAGTACAACTCACAAAGTTTACCAAGTCTTTCTTCCCATTGTCCATTTCTTATCATGGGCTTCTAAATTTGTAAAATCCAAACTTGCAAAAGTAGCAAAACTACATAAGGAACCACTATGATGTAAACAAAAAGTAGCAAAACTACATAAGGAACCACTATGATATAAATAAAAAGTAACAAAAACGAGGGTTCTCTAGTCACTTGAAACAAATGAACAGTAGAGCAGTTAAAAACTACATAAGGAACCACTATGATATAAACAAAAAGTAATAAAAAGGAGGGTTCTCTAAAGCAGTTAAAAACTATTCTAGTTCTCATTTATACTTGAAAAGAATACGCCCAACCCAGATTTTAGAATTATGTTCTAGTTCTAGTTTGCTAAATTTCAATCAAATTACCTAAATTTAAACCAACTTCAAGAACTATTTCAAGATACAAAACATTTGAAAGAGAACCAATTGCTCAATTCAAACAAAAGACACCCATTTCTTGCTATCAGATTATATCAACTACACTTGGACCATTACTCCCCTATACATGTTCGAACATCTGTTCTCTCCTCAATGGCTCTTTTGGAGAGTAATCTAACAGGGTTTCACATACTCACACAGAGAAACAACCAGACATTCGGAACATATGCATGTCGTCTACCCTAGTAATCCATTGCCAATTCCATTCCATTCCTGTAAACCAAACGCACCCTAAGGTGGCGTTTGATTCGCAAATGTTTTTGGATGAAATGGAATCTGTTAAAGGAATTTGACTTTGAAGGAATTGGAATGGAATGTTGTCAGGTTTGACCACCTGTTTGGTTGGCAGACATTGGAATGGAATCTGTTAAGAAATTGGAATATGTTTGTTTGATTTACAAAATGTAGCTTTAGAATTGGAATAAGATATTGGTAAATGACCAAAATGCCCTTTTTGAATTTTTTAAAACTAAAAATACTTTAATAAAATAATTATTTAATATGTAAAACAATATAAAATATACAACCCAAATATAATCATAAGCCAAACGACGTTACTAAATCAACGGTGGTCGGCAGTGGTTCAGATCGGTGGTGATCCATAGTGGTTCACATGGTGGTGGTCCGCAGTGATTCAAATCGATGGTGGTCCGCAGTGGTTCAGATAGAGGTGGTCCGCGGTGGTTCAGATAGGCGGTGGCGGCGGTGGTTGTTCAAATCGGTGGTGGTCGGCGGTGTCCGACGGTGATTCAGATCGATGGTAGTCGTCAGTGGTTGGCAGTGATATAGATCGATGGTGGTCCGTTGTGGTTCAAGTGACAATGGTCAGATGTGGTTCAGATTGGCGATGGATCATATCGGAGATGGTCAATGGTGGTTTAGATCGACGGTGCTTCAGATCTGTAGTAGTTGGCGGTAGTTCAGATCGATGGTGGTCCGTGGTGTTTCAAATGGCGATGGTCGACAGTGGTTCAGATCGGTGGTGGTCCATGGTGGTTCAGATGGTGGTTATCGGTGGTGGTTCAGATTGACGATAAATCAAATCAGTGGTGGCTCAGATCGGTGGTAGTCGGTGGTGGTGGTCGGCAATGGATTTCCAATGGATTTATAGAATTAATTAAAAATATTTTCTAAAACATGTTGATGGATTTCGTTGGAAATTCGTAGGAAAACTCTAAGAGTTTTTGACGAATTTATATAATTAATTCAAAAATATTTTCTAAGACATGTTGATGGATTCCGTCGGAAGTCGATAGAAAAATTCTAAGAATTTCCAACGAATTTTCGATGGTAGGATGGAGGTTGTAATTCTTTCTAATCTCTTGGGGTATAATGAGAGACCATTCGTTGACAAGTGAATTTAGAATTGGCTTTCATTCCAAAGTCTAACTTGTATCTATACGCTTAATTTTATAATTAATTTAAAAATCTACACTATATTATAAAGCATTTGACAAAAACTCTTAAAACAATCTTTTATGCATGAAGTACGATTTATTGATGCATATTACTTAAAATTCAAGATTACAAATAAACCGTGCGTAAGTATAACTTATTAAAGCTTCATGTTTGAATTCGTGTAACTAACGGCAGATAAACATAGTCAAATACAAGATAAACATTTCAATTTAAATATAAAAAATCTAAAATATAATTAAGATAATCATTTAGTTCTAACAGAATATTTAATTATTATTCTTTAAAAGATTATATTATGAAATTAAAAATAAATTATTTTGTTATTATCCAAGTTAAATTATAGGGTTAAATGTATAAAATAGCAACCTACTCTTATAAATTTTCTTATTATAGCATTTTACTTTTGTTTTTCTTTGTTACAACAATATACTTTCAAATTATTTTTTATTAATGCATCGTACTTTAAAAAATCTACCCATAATAACAATGTGTAACTTGTTACCTTTTAAACCCTTTGTTTGATAACTTAACTAAAATAAAAATAAAAACCTATTTCAAATTATTATTAATGATTTTCATTTTTCATTGCTATGATATAAAAAAACATTTAATTTTTTTGACTTTTTCTTATTAAGTTGTATGCAAATTAAATATTCTTAGAGTAAAATATTTATTAAATAAATATGAAACATTATTTTCGAGATATATTTTGTTTGTAAAAAATGTAACTTTTCTTATTTTATGTTGTTCAAATAAATACATATCTTTTAAAGTTCTCTTTAAAATGTTAACGAAATAAATTGTTATCTATAATTTTTTAATATTGTTATATTAATAAATAATTCAAAAAAATCTAATTAATTTAATATATTTATACGTCAAGTAAAAAGTTTTGGAACAAATATAATATATTTTTTAAAAGATCATATTTTTTGGTAAAAAAAGAACAATTCTTATTTTCTTTTTCTTTTTTTTCAAAACACACATATTTTTTAAAAAATTATTAGCGAGATAAGTTGTGTTATACTAGTTTTATTGATATTGGTATATTAATGAATAATTTAGACTTTTTATTAATTCATTTAATATAATTATTAAATAACATGTAAAATATCTAAATATTAAAATTAAAAATACAGTGTTTAATAATAATTAGTAGATGTTATAATAAAATAATTTTGAAAGCACAATGATGTAGTAAGAAAGTCACATCACTATGGTACATGTGGACAACCTAAATGGACAATGAGGTGACATGAAAACCTGGTATAATAGGTAAATTTAAATCAAAAAGTTACCCAATGTTATAATGGGTAAATTTTTCAAAGTACAATGTCCTAATAAAAATAGTTTGAAAGTATATTGTTGTAATAAGAAAACTTAAAAGTACAATGCTATAATAAAAAAAATTATGAAAGTAGATTGTTATTTTGTGCATTTTGCCCTAAATTATAATAAAAATTTGAATTAGAGAAACTACATGAAAAATAATAATTTTTAAATAGTTAATTTGACACTGATATTGATATATAGTTAATTTATATTTTATTCAAAAACATTATCTTTTTCTTAAAACCACATAAAACCCGTATTATAACATCTACAAAGACGGAATAAAACGAAACACTAAAATCGAGATATATCTCGCTATATTACATGAATACTCTTCTAATATATTTAAATATATTTTGGGTAACCTCGATTTGTTTTCAGTTTACTTAAAAAGTTTAACTATATCCATCTAGCCTACTAGGAAGAAGTCATGTAAACCTACACATTTACCAAGTAAATGTACCGAAAACGACATATATAAATAGTACTCAGGGACGGCCATATGAGTGTCCCACTGGTGTCCTCGCACGAGGTCTTCAGTCGTCGGTGGCCTTGGACAGTTTTTAATGTATGCATTAAATTTACACAACTTGTTTTTTTTTGGGAGGGGGTAGAGCTTATTTAATTCTGTTTTTCTACAAACATATTAGGGTGTGTTGTATGTTATTTTTAAATTTTATATTTCATTTAAAAATAAAAACATTACCGTTCTCTTAAAACCACATAAAATCATATTATATCGATAAAGATAAAAAATAAAAACTAAACATTAAAATGAAGATTTATGTCGCTGTATTACTCGAGTATCCTTCTAGTTATTTTCTAAAACATTTGATGTATTCCGTAGGAAAATTCTATGAATATTCAACGGATTCCGACAGACTTTAATAATTAATTTAAAATTTAATTTCAATAGCATATTGTTGGATTTCGTCGGAAATCCGTAGAAAAATTCTATAAATTTCCGACGGATTTCCGACAACCTTTTATAATTAATTTAAAATTTTATTTTAATAACATATTGGTGGATTTTGTTGGAAAAATTCTAAGAATTCCCAAAGGTTTTCTAACGGCTATTTACAATTAAATTAAAATTTAGTTATAATAATATATTGATGGATTTCGTCGGAAATCCGTAAGAAAATTGTAATGGGGCATTTGGTTCACAAAATGTTTTCTGAAGGAATGAAATCTGTCAGATGAATTAGAATATGGAAGGAATTCAAATGTAGTGCTAATTAACAGGTTTGACCAAGTGTTTGGTTGGTAGGAAAATGAAATGTAATCTATCAAATGAATTTGAATTTGTGTGTTTAGTTAACAAATGAATTGGAATGGAATAATGAAAATGACAAACACCCATTTTGATATTCTTTTTTTTTTCACATTAGCAATTTCGTATCATTACAAACCATTCTTACACATCACAAGTTCATGTCAGTATACAACCATTGTGAAGCAAAAGATTGAGCAGTAAAATCGTCCTGAGTAAATCCAATAATACATATCAACAATTATTTGAAATCGTGAAACATAACCTGGTAGTAATATTGAAAACCAAAACCTGGAGTAAAATAAAAGTATATAAATAATCTCATATATGAACCCAAAATTGTGAAAAAAAAAAAAATCGTTATACCAGTCGATTGATTACTGATATGCTTCGATCAATGAACCTAAAGTAAAATCATGTTCTGAAGCCAAAATCGGGAAGAAAAGAAGCAAAAGAAAGAGTTATACCGGTCGATTGATGAAGAAGAGAGTCCAGAGGAAGCAGTCGATCAATGAACGAGAGGGTCGCTTGGAATGAACGTGAATATAATAGCTAGGGTTTTATGTTATAATGGGGCATTTTAATTATTTTCAAGATCTTGGTTGTAACATATTTCAATTACAACTTTTTATTGAAGGAATGATGAAATCCACATTTGAGGGAATGTTTGGAATTCAATTCTATTCCATGTATGACCAAATGTCAGATTGGGATTTGATCAACGAAATTGACCATTATATTTCCATCAGATTCTGTCAGAATCCGACGAACCAAACGCCCTCTAAGAATTTTCAATAGATTTCCAACGGACTTTTATAATTAATTTAAAATTTAATTCTAATAACATATTGATGGATTCCATCGAAAATCTATAGGAAATCTATTACTGATATCCGTAGGCGAAAGTCCAGTTTCTAGTGGTGGTTCTTTGTGGTAGAACACAAACCTTGGTATAATGATAGTAAACTTCTCTTGCTTTTGCTAGAAGAAAATGGGGATCACTCACGGTAAAGAAAAATACTCACAAGATAGTGATATTTAATGGTAATCATTCTTACGTAATCAATGTAATGCTTGGATGATCAGGGAATATTTGAAAGCTTTGAATATTTGTTACTTTGCTCAAAAACCAGAGATTAGCTAGGAGACCCTATCTTTATACAAGATTTTTGAAAATTTGGCCTATGTGGACGTCCTGTATGAAGCATTAAGCGGACGTTCGCATTGTGTCATCTAGAAAAGGATCCTGAAAGTCCAAGTACATGTTCGTATTGTGTTTTCCAGCTATATACATTTAAAGAGTCATCTTAATTTAAGAAAAAATAGGTAAAAGCCTCGATTCAGGTGGAAGTGCGATGTGTCTGAAAACTCTGGATTGTATTCATATTTATATATAACGTCTCATCTAACACCGTAAATCACGATTTGGAGAATAGTAACATCAGAAGAAAGCACGTCATTAAGTCAACACTTTCATTCTATGTATATATAAGTGATATAATAGATACTTAAACTATATTTGTTATTATAAGTACTACAATAATCACAACTTTTGTTAAGAAAAAAATGTATCATTTGCATTCATTTTGCACAAAACATTTACCTATTAGTTGGTTTTCACTTCAACTATTGTTATAGATTTCAAAGCTTCATCACACTTTTATACATCCATCATCTTGTTCCAAACCATCATTTTTCTACCAATGTGAGATGATGAAAGTCAAGCTTATTTCGGATTTGAGGAACAATCAAACTCATGTTGTGAAGTCATCATCCTTGGTTTCACGCTTTTATACACCCACCATCTTCTTCCAAATCTTTCGGTAATATGAGATAATGAAAATTAACTTCAATCAAGATTTGAGGAAGAATCAAACCTCATGTTACCAAAGTCATCATTCTTGGTTTCACTTTTAGTTTTGTACTACGATTTTTACCTTTTTTTTTTTGCAAAAATAAGGTCATCCAAATAAAATAACTTTATGAGTCAAGTCTCATAGGTTGACACAATGAATCTAATATTTCTTTCTTATACACTTTTTTATTCCAATTTTTCAATCTCTCACCAATATGGAATATCTCAAACTCAACCACAATTCACTAACAACTCAATACTCAATTCTCATGATCTCACCTTAATACCTCTTGGTTCTTCTTTTAATATACTAATTTAAGATACAATGCGATTATTGGCAACTAATTAGATGTAATATAAGACAATAAATTTATTAGGATTGTGTAGATGTAAATTATGTATTTTCATTGATATTGTTTCTTGTAACGAAGAGAATTCCATACATTTTCTTATTATTTTGTTGCAAAAATAATGTTTTGACATTGAAAATTGTTTAAAAACGGTTTGTTCCAAAAAAAATTGGAGTATTAGCTGTTATTATGAGTGTACACAAAATTAGTCTTTCCAATTTTTCATTTTAACTTATATTGCTTGTTTTGCGACTTAATTATTAAGGGATTCTGAAATAGATTGCACATAAAAATTACAACTAACACCACTATTCAAATTACGAGAGTATTAAAATCTCATAAATATTCATTATCTTGGGTTGTTCTTTTAATATATTATTGATAATATAATATGCCATTTTATAATTAATCTTTTTACAGTTGCTAGAAAAAATGAGATCGGCCAAAAAGGAACTTTGTAAATTGTCACAAACTCTCTTAATTTTGAAAGACATTACCTCCTCCCTTAATATACAGACTATCTCATTTTAATGGATTGTACTCTCATCAATATAAGGCAACCGAGGTAACACCACAAAATTTTGTATGTCACTTCTATAAGATTTTTTTTAAATGAGGTCGACCGAAAAGAATCAGCACAATAAATTGTCACAAACCCTATCCTATTAGTTTTAAAAAGGATCCCATTAGTTTCTTTTCATATAAACATCATCTCATTTTATCAATTTATGTTTTCACCAATCTAGAACAACGAAAGTAACACATAAAATTTTGACTGATATATATTGATTTCATTTATTATCCCCTCATTTTATATACTTACAAACATTTAAAATAATAATTTTTCTTTTACAAAAAAATATTTGACAGAATGAAACAACTCTATATTTTTAAATAAATATCTTTAGAAAAATAAGATGGCCAGAAGTTAAATTTAACCGACTCAAGAACTTTTTGCATTTAAATTATTTATCTCCTATAAAAATAATATTTTTAAATTCTTTATATCATCCTATATAGTCAGTGGCGGATCTAGAAACTATTTTGGTTGGGGGCACACTTAGGAGGGTCGAAAAAATTTCGAAACCGAACAATTCGTCCGAACCAAAAAAGGTTTCGGGTTTCCATTTTCAGGTTTAAACTGTTTGGTTAACCGAATAAAGATAATTAATGCGGTTGAAATAAGCTAGTCATTGACTCTACAAATGCATTGATGTGGTGGAGAGTGACTTCTAAGGCTTATGTTTTAATCATTTAATACTCTTCTAAGGCCTATAAAACTAACCTAACATTTGACATTTTCATTTGATTTGCCTACAAAATTGCCTATAAAATTAACCTAACATAAAACATTTACCAAATCACCAATAAGCAAACAACAAAAGCAAAGAAGTAATCAAAATTAAAGACTAGAATTTGGAAATTAGAATTTTTACCCAAATTATTTGCTTCAATCCAGYGACTCCAACTCCAAGTCTCCAATTCCAGCCGCGCCCACAGTCGWAACTCGAACTCAATAACAAGATAAAAATCAATGGTTTAGTAACATTTTTATTTGCCTATAAAATTAACCTAAAATTTGACATTTCCATTTGATTTGCCTAATTGCCTACAAAATTACCTACAAAAGCCATCAACTTGTTTACATGCTACTGCCATCACTATCTGTGTTCAGTTAGACCATTTGCAATCTGTGTTTGTTCCCAATTAATCTGCTGTTGGAGAATGTCACATGGACACTGCACAATCTTGAATTATCTCTTTGGTTCAAATCATTTTCAACCCGACCAACCCATTTGAAGATTATCGAAGTAAACGAAAAACAATATTGACAGAACAATCCAATCTGCTTTATGAGAATCTACCTGTTTTAACTTGTAAAAATGTGTGCAGTGCAGAGGGAATATATAGATACAGAAGGATGTAAGTATAAGGAATTGGCAAAGGGAAAATAGAGAAAGAAAGGAGGTTCACGAGAGAAAGAGTACTATGAGAGGATGATTGGTGTGTTTGTGGGAATCTCTTCTGACTCCTACCTTTCTCTCTCACCCCACCTTCACCACCACTTCACTTTTTCTTTTTTCTTTTTTCTTTTTCATTTATTTATTTATTTATTAACACACTTGAAAATGAGCGATTTCTTGTATAACATGTGTCTATATAGATGCTAGTTTAACTCTTATTTTGTCCTTGCTTGAATGTGGTTTCTTGTTGAGAAATTGATGGTACCTCCAATCTTTAAAATTTACAACAACGGCAACATTTAATGTCCAACATTTAACTATGTACATAATAAAAGTACTGGTCTGAATACATAAAAGAAATAAACACTTAACTGTGTACATAATAAAACAATTATATATTGCCTGCCATTTTGTTATAAGAACTACCATTATACAAGGTAGTAAATATTATATATTGCCTGCCATTTTTGTTATAGAAACTACCATTATACAAGGTAAGCAACCACTGTTCTTCATCCTCAAGAACAACTCATTGGCTTCATTTAGTTTCCCCTTCTTACAAAATCCATCGATCATAATAGTGTATGTAATGGCATTAGGATCAATCATGACATCAAGCAACTTCATTTTGTTAATTATGTTTCTTTTTCAATTGGCATTTGAGGCCAATCTCATGCCATGTGGTCTGTTGGTCTATTTTAGAATCTTGAAACATATTTTTATCTTTGTTATTGCTAAAATCATATTTTGTTTCTGTAGGCTATGTCAAGGAAAAATTCTGAGAATAGGGGGGAGCGAAAGTATGTTGTTTTAAACGGTACAGTGAGCACTCCGAATCACCATTTTCGAAATAGAGGATTGTCGGACAATCCTCTTATCGGTGAGATAGCGACTTTCCGAAAGTTGCATTATAGAGAAAAAGATGGTTGGGTTAATGACTATTCTCGCACTTCATATGTAAGTTACGTTTAACGAACTCTTTTGCATGTCTTCATCGTTTTATAAATTACTATGATTTATATTTATATATGATTTTTATGTTCATAGGAGAACATGGTAGAGATTAAGCGGCAAAGTGAATCAACAGAAAATCCCCCGAGTGATCTAGAGATTATGCAACAARTCTTAGGTAAAWGACCTRCATATATTCGGGGATGGTCTAGGGTCCCGAGCACTAGGAGCGATTCTACAAGTTCACGACAAAGCACCGGTGCGTCAGGTCGATTGAGTCATAGTGATGTCTAATAGACTTGCTTCAACCGAATTCGAGCTTGCTTCTACCAAATTCGAGCTTGCTTCTACTAAATCCGAGCTCTTTCTCATGAAGGATGAAGTCGCGGAGTTGCGACAAATGGTTAGGTCAATTATATCCGGCCGGTCGGTTCTAAGTTCATCTTCATTAACTGTTCAAGACCAACGTTTGGAGACTCAAGATCGTTAAACATGCTATAATGATTTTGGATGTTTTTTGTTGATAAATTTAGACGATATATAATCTAGTTGAATATTAAATTTGGATGGTTCTTATAATAAGAAATTATATAACAAATCTATAAAAAATTGTTTTGAGGTTTATTATTAATTTGTTCCGATTAATTTAATATTATTTATTAGTTTATTATTATTATTATTATTATTATTATTATATATATATATATATATATATATATATACTAGAAACGTACTCGCGCAATGCAGCGAGATACATCGTGATTTTATTATTTCATTTTATTATTTATCTCATTCGATGTTATATTATGGCTTTATGTGATTTTGAGAAAGCGATAATGTTTTTATTTTTAAATAAAATATATGTTTGAAGATATCATAAAAATTTGACAAAAATATATCGATATTAGTATCAAATTAACTATTTGAAATTCCTCATTTTTTTGTGTAAT